TATATGTATAATTTTTTTTCCCAGATTTAAGTTTGGAACGTGCGAATTTCGACTCAAAAGCAACGTCCGAGTTATCGAAATGGCCGAAATTAAATATTATAAGAGTTTTTGAAATTACGGGTCATGCGATTATCGGCACGGGTTAAACGAGGTTGTTCATCAGCATCGGAAACTCGCGCGAATAAACTTAGTGAGTGTTTAATGGGATAAATACAATAAAACTCGTTTACTTTCGACGAATCTGACGTGTGCCAACTTTCCGGTTAAATTCAGACCCGCTGCGGTGCGCTTTTCACCCCGATTGTGTACGGAATCGGTCCCGCTTTCGAATCACCCGTAAGACGTTGTTTGCTATAACCCATTATTTTTTTAATTTTTTTTTTTTCCGAGTTTCAATACTAGCCCAAAATTCTATACGCGTACGACGTATGGCCGTACTCTCTCCGACGACAACGACGTCATCCGATCGCCCCGTTCGGACGTTTCGGCATAGCGGCGCGTGGATACGATACGATATCTATCGATTTTTAAACGGCTTTTGACCGCCGCCGCCGTCGTTTTATAACGGAATTGAAAGCGTACATGTATATTATATGGGTATCGATACGTATATTATACGCGAGCTTTAAAACGGCGCCGGTCCGCGTTTAATTAGGGCTAATTGGGAGACCCGGGTGCTTCTCCAATTAGCGCGGTGAAATATTACGAGCGACGGGGCCCTCTCCTATTATCATTATTATCGTCGTACCGGTATAATGATAACAAACGCGCGCGAACCCGGCGGATTCGCTCTGAAGCCGATCGATACGAATCGGTTTCTAACGCGGAACCGGTTTTGCGAAATCATTAGCTGCTCGTCTGTTCCGCGGGGGTGGTTTTTTTTTTTCGGTTTTGGTCTAGTTAGTTTTGCGAGCCGGTCTGGGGAAAAATCTCGCGATTTCGAAATGCTACGGCAAACGTCGTGAAATCGGTTAACGTTGTTGTTATATTTATACTTTCTTTTAAAACCGATTGCGCGCAGTTAGTGTTTTAAAATTGGCGGCGTGTATTTCTGTCTGTTACAAAATAAGTAAAGATTGAAGAACATTGCCAATATTTGCAGGTTATATTTTTTCTCTTGGTATTTTAGTTTTCAAGCAAGTTACGAGTAAAATGTGTACAATTTTACAATTTACAAAATCATCGCCTATCTCGTTTGGAAAATGAAATATCGAAAAAAATAAACGAACATATTTACAATACAAACAACACCTAATAGTTCGCACCTTTAAATTTGATAACAGGCCAATATATTCTAGTATTAAAATTGACGGCACGAAATAGGTTATAATATATAAATATAACGACATTAAACGATTACACAACATTTACCGTAACATCTATAACGATTCGGTCGTCGTAAATTCGTCAAGTGAATCCGGGACGAAAATAGTAAATCGAATTGAAACGCACAACATTCCGTATGGAATAGTATCTATCATAATTTAAAGGTCGAAATAAAACGACCGTCGCAGAGTAATTAAATTTTGACGTAAAATGTCATTAAAAAATGTATTTAAAAAAAAAACTCGTCTGCGATGTTGTCGAAATTTAAAATAAGTGAAAACCCGTTATTTACTGTGTATATTATTGTCGTCGACAATTTACCGATACGCGGTTCGTTTAAACGTTTAGAACGGAAACAATAATGAAACGCAAGTACATAATAATTCGAATATAAATGGCGAAGGTTAAAAATGCGATAAATCCTTCGTTTTTTTTTTTTTTTTTATTTTTCGTTCGCCGCGCACGTATGTTTTATGTAAAAAGAATCAACCGGTGTCAAAGTGCATTTATTCGCTTTAATTTCTGTGTACCGAAGATAATAGCTATACACGTTGTTATTATTGTTATCGCCCATGTTGCATAACATTTAAATAGCATTTAAATAATAATAATAATATTATAATGGTAAAACTACAACGATTATTATTATGCCGTGTCATACGCAACAGGTAAAAGTGCATCATGCTGATAAATAGAATACTATATATTATTATATTATATTATAATAGTATAACACGTAAAACGTACAAATTAATAAAGAACGAAAAAACGAAATAAAATAAAAGAAACGTATAGCCGTAAACGTATAGAAAAAAAAAAAAAAGAAAGAAACCGTTAATGCATATGATATATATATATATATATGTATACAGAGAGAGAGGCTAATAGTTTAAACGGCGGTTTTATTTTATTATTATTGTACAGCGGGCGGAAAACAAAAAACCGAGTCAAGCAAGTAAAAAAAAAAATATATATATATATATATATATACAAAAAAAATAACGCGACCACGTTATTGTATATAATAGTATTATATATCGCTACATATTATGTGTAAATATTACCGAAATACCGCAAATGCATCCGTACCTGAGTCTGGACCTGTAAAAATTACCGCAATCATGTAAAAACAATATTTAAGAAACATAAAAAGAAAAATAATAATAATAAATATGCATATTATAATGATGAGGGGACCTATTTTTAATTTTTTTTTTTTTTTTGAACAAAAACAAAAAAGAAATCGATAACGCGCCCATTTATAAATCATAGAAATAGATAATATAATAATATATATTGTGCACAGGGAGAGAGAGAGAGATATTTTGTGTTGTTAGAACAAGTGTCATTTTTCATTTCATTTCACCTCGATGCGTACAGTAGGTATACGCACTTTTCATGCATATGCGTCATTGAAAAGAATGTTTTTTTTTTCTTTCAAACAAAAGTGCCTATATGTATACAACGCACTGCAATAGCGTATCCCCTTTGTACTGTCGTCGTTCCGATATAAAACACTTAAACAAATATTATACGAGTCAATTGAGAGTGACATTCGTGCGCGACCGCATAAAACAATACTAATAATAAGGAACGCAGACGGGTCGTGTGTGTAAAGTTCGGGGCACGGGATCAATTGAAACCAATTCCGAGATAGTTTCATACGCAGACGGCGGCGACGACGACATTCCAACGGTTCGAAACTACTTTCTAATGGGTTTTTATCGCAGACTATAATTACTACTATTATTGTATTGTGTTATTATTGTGATATCCGTTTAAAGTCGAAACCGTCATAGTCGCCGTCGCGTGTATGATGAAAAAAAAAACACCCGCGAGCAGTGTAACGGAGCACCGTCTACTAGAGTCGAAAAAAACCCCTCCGGATAATTTCTATTACATCGGAAAACGAAAAAAACAAAACCGAACACGACACTATACGATATACCGCATATTAACAATATATTATTATAATAGTCCGGGAAAAATAATGATCTTGAAAATTATGTATGGGGAGCGGGCGGTCACGGGCCGATATCCCGAAGACGAATTCTCGACGTTTTCTTAGCCAAATTCGAGGGGGGAGGTGGGGAGAGATCTGTGACGGTGTAAAAAGCGGTGTAAAAAGCGGTGAAAAACAAAGTCCTCGCGCGGTTAAAATCGGCCAGAAACTTTTGCCGTTTCGTAACGCGGCGACTCTATATACGAGGTATGGCTATTAAATAATGAGACTGGTTACGAAAAAGTGTTTTATTATAAAAGTTATTCTACATTCAAATGCTCCCCTTCAATATACTCCCTTCCCCTCGCCACACACCGTTTCATTCGTTTCTTCCATTGCTCGAGGCAGTGCTGGAAGTCTGTTTTCGTAAGACCATTCAGGAGTTCCACCGATTTTTGTTTCACCTCTTCCATCGACTCAAACCGGATTCCTTTTAAGGCAGACTTTATCTTCGGAAACAAGTAAAAGTCGCAGGGTGCCAAGTCGGGTGAGTAAGACGCGTGTTCGAGTACTGGAGTGCCTTAAGCGGCCAAATAACGCTTCACACTTTATCCTGGTGCAAGATCCACGACTTGTTTTTCCACAATATCGACCGTTTCTTACGAACTCATTCGCGCAATGTTGCCAAAACTGTCAAATAGTAATGTTGGTTCACAGTTTGACCCTCTGGAACCCATTCAGTCATCACGATGCCGTTGATATCGAAGAAAACGGTTTTGAATTTGGATTACGACTGAATTGGATTCCGGTGCACTCTCGACCTTCAGAAAATAATTTATGCCACTCAAAAACACGCGCCCGAGATAGGAAATCCTCACTATAGGCCTCTTTTAACAACTTATAGCACTCAGTTGGAGTTTTTTTTAGTTTAACGAGAAAATTTTACGTTTATCCGTTGCTCATGTTTTTCGTCACACATGGTTTTCGGCACGAGAAAAAAACACGTTCGTTTCAAACCACTACTGCACAAATACTATAATAGTGACGAAAACGTGTTTTGGTACGTGCATAGATAAGATATCTAGATACCCAACGCATTACTCGTTTTTTTCACTACCCATCTAGGGCGCCCTCTAGGCGAGCAGTCTCGTTATTTAATAGCCACACCTCGTA